AAAAAAGAAGTGTCCCCCTCCCGTGAAACCTGATCTCAATCTTTCTCAAACTCCCTATGACTCAACCATCTCAGCACAACAACACAACTGTTATGGATCCTCGCTAGAAACCTTGAAACATCTGATCAGGTAGTAAAGTCATGGACAATATACATGTACTGTGAAGAGAACCTGAAAACTGACAATTTAGGCTATTTACGTGCAATCAATGCTCCAGCAGCAGGTGTAAGACAGTGTAAGAGATTCTTTGACAGTCCATTGCTATTCAAACATCGTTTGAGTTGCAGAAAGTTGCAGTGGTTTTGGATCAAGTCCTATTTGCAAAGGCAACTGAGATAGTATGGAGATACAATAAACACTTCAGAAATGTTGTGGTATTGGTAATGATGGGCAACTTCCACACACTTTGCAGTTTGCTGTGAGTTATTGGAAAGATGCTGGACTTCAGGACTTTGTTGTAGAGTCAGGAATAGTTGCTGAAGGATCGATCAAGAGAATAAGAAGGCAAGCACTACAACCGATCTGTTCGTCTTCACAAACTTACTCATGAAGCAATGATGATATTGAACTTGTCCTTGGAAAATTAGGCGAGCTCTATCAATGTATGAGTCATGAAACCCAAAGAGAAATTCTTGAGAGAAGTTCCTGGATGGGATGGAAATCTGCAAATTGTTCACAACCTATCTCGATGTTTTGCGCCACAACTGGGGACACCTAGCAGCCTTTTGGATGACCAATATCGGTTTGGTGGAAATCTGGCTTGTAGATAGAGAAGGCAATTGGTACCTCCACCTAGCTTGCATTCGTGACAGTATTCCTTCATGTTTTGCCATGAACAAAACAAACTATGCAAGATACTTTCCTGTTTACTATGCACAGACGACTCGGCTCCAAGAAACATCTCCAGAATTGCACAACCATTTCCATAACAGAGGATTTTCAGTTCAGCTTAGCAATACATATCCTTTTGGACGATTCGCTGTTGACCATGCCACATAGGAAACAGTCAACAAAGATACACAAACGGCCGGTGGAACTCAAGGCTTTAGCATGAAAACAGGAACTGGCTCTCGATACTATCTGAAAGCAGAGCACAGATCTCTGCAGCAACTTCGTCATCAAGTGTCTTTCAAATCGCAAAACATGTGACATGCTGACCTGGAGAAAACACGAACACAGGACAAATGTGATGTCCAAACACTTGTTGACATTCTCTGTAGTATTTGGACCAATCCATTTGTTGGAAATCGTACAGAACTAATTTGTATATCATCAGGGACTGCACCTACATCTCAAGTATCATTGGATCTTTTGACTGCACACCAGAAAGGACTAAATCCATACAACAAATTTCAGGAAAAACTAGGGAAGGGGGAAGGCTTTCATAACACACTAAAGAAATTCAAATTGAAAACATTCACTGACATGAACAAGAAATCACCAAAAGTTCCTCACAAACACATTGTGTGGAAGGTAGACAAAAGTTTATTTGGAAATATGGTGCTCATTGCCAAAAACCGAAAATTGGACATGAGAAATGTCCTCTGTCACCCTTTGGGACCGTTGTCATGGTCACTGGCAAATGGTGATGGAACACTTAAAAAGGCCACCAAAGCCTTGCTAGCAAGCAATCTTGAAAGCAAAGTCTCTTTAGCTAAAATAACCACTCCAAAACAAAGTGCTGCACTCCTTGATGCTGTCCAGGAGCGTTTTCGTCGGGGATACTCTCGGATGGTAGTTCAGGATGGTGGACAAGACATGGAAGACAGTCAGCGGTAGAGTTGAAGACAGCAGCAGCCATTTTTATTATGGTTGGGGAACAATCATTAACAACATCTCTTTCAATACTACTTGCTGAATTTTGTGAATATTTGGTATTAAGAGAAAGGTAGTTCGTAGGAGTGAGTGATGGAGTATGCTTTACACCTCTTTTAGCAGGGCGGTGAACACCAGAAATGGGCTTCACACATTGTACCCATATGGGGAATTGAAACAGGGCCTTTGGTGTAACAAGCGAACACTTTAACAACTAGGCTGTATTTGGAAGGAAGCACAATCAATTGAAAAACATGAACATTTAAACCTTAAGACAGAACCATAATGTCTGAATGTACAGAATCTGTAATCTACAGAAATAAATTCTGTATGTCCAAGAAACTTATTCTTATCTATATTTTTTTAACAGTTTTTCAAACATAAATATATGCAATGATGTACAATCCTTGCAATTAGATATTAAAAGTGTGAATTTCAATACTGAACATATTTTACTCTAACATAAGCACCTTCAAGCTTACAGTTTGAACTGGGTCATTGTTTTCAGGGGGTGATAGTCAATTTTTGGTGAACGGCCGCTATTTACTGAAAAATGGGATCTGCGTTATAAACCTGATTAAAGGTACATTTTAATTTAGATTTCAATATAAATGGAAACAAATCTATACTTAAAGACATAGGCTTTCTAACTTATGTAAGTTCTCCTCTTGGTGACCATTATTTTCCCCGAAAATAACAAAATATCTGCATTTTTGGGGAAAATCGTATTTTTTTCATTCATTTTTCCCAATTTGTAAAAACTAATCATGCTGAACTCCCACAAATTACATAGCTTGACGGTGAGAGGCGACAGAGCGGGTGTCAGTTCGCCGATTTTATTCATTTAATACAGATTCAGTCGATCGGGGGCGGTGAGGTAGCCTAGTGGTTAAAGCGTTCACTCGTCACGCCGAAGACCCGGGTTCGATTCCCCTCATGGGTACAATGTGTAAAGCCCATTTCTGGTGTCCCCGCCGTGATATTGCTGAAATATAGCTAAAATCGGCGTAAAGTTAAACTCACTCACTCACTCGATGAGAAGATCCTGATATCAATCACTAGGTCATTCACAGGCCGCCGTCATATAGCTGGAATTGTTTACCAAGTGTGGCGTTAGGCAACAAACAGATACGCAAATAGTAGCTGCTATACTTATAATGTATATTTTAACATTTCAATGAGCAAAATAATGACATGATGTTTGAATGATGTTTGAACAATGTTTGTTTCTAGGTTGCCAGTTGACTCATTCGATAACAAAGAACAGACACTAATAGTAATTCTGAGTGTTGCGTAAATATTCACTCACTAACTCTGACGTACAGGCTACAACAGGACCGTCATTCTGATGAAAGCCGACGTAGACGCCGACGACTACCTCTTCTTCCGCGGGGGACTCCAAGGAAGCGTTGTTAATGGTATGAAACCTTTCGTCCGTCATTGGATATTCGGCCATCTTGGATGTCGCAAAATGATTTTCGAAATACGTTTGACTGAATTCGCGACAATTTAGATGTGTTTGAGCTGTGGTGTAATTTAAATCTCATTTGGGAATACGATCTGCATTACCATTGATATAAATGTGGAAGTCGCTACGTATTGTGTCGGAGGAACAGGTGGCGCTGTCGTCTAAGGTGCCACATGTTAGTGAGCAGAGTTAGTTCCCTTGGGTTACACTATACACCCTTGCTGGTCTATTTCACCTCCGGGTTAGAACTGATTTTCATTAACCCATGCTTGTCGTAAGAGGCGAATAACGGGATCGAGTAGTCAGGCTCGCTGACTTGATTGACACATGTCATCGGTTCCCAATTGCGCAGATCGAGGTTCATGCTGTTGATCACTGGATTGTCTGGTCCAGACTCGATTCTTTACAGACCGCCACCATTTAGCTGGAATATTGCTGAGAGTGGTGTAAAACTAAACACGCTCACTATTTCACCAAAGTGGTAAACATCTGAGTCACGCAGGCGGTGGGATAGCCTAGTGGTTGAAGCGTTCGATCGACGTACTGAAGGGCCGGGTTCGATTCCCCACATGGGTACAATGTGTGAAGTCCAGTTCTGGTGTAGTGCTGATATATTGTTGAGTGATGTAAACATTCACTCACTCACTCATCCACTCACCCACTTACTCACTCACTCACCCACTCACTCACTGTTTCCAGCCCACACCAATTTCACAGGACGATGCCTCAGTGTGGCGGGAAGCACCAACCCGTGTGTCCTGTCTATTCAACACAGAACTTTTGTCTCATCCGGTGGTTTTAACGCATATAACGCATGGGCGGCAGGTGATAACTTCCTAGACTGGTACGGGTTCGAATCCACGCAGGGTGAGTACACGCAAGCTGTGAAACCGGTGGCGGAAGGGTCCCCGGCTGTCCTCACATCGAGTAGCGCCACGAAGCCGAACTACCTCTCCTACAACACGTAAGTATGATTATGCAGAAACGATGCTCATGCTGTTGATCACTGGATTGTCTAGTCCATACTCGATCATTTACAGACCTCCGCCATATAGCTGGAATATTGCTGAGTGCGGCGTAAAACTAAGCTCACTCACTCACTTTACAACTCCACGGAGAGATGACGTGATCTCGATAGCATACGAGTTGGACAGTTTGGGATGACAACCTTTATATACTGACATACTTTTGTTCTGTGTGTCTACAGATATGTCACGCAGTGTATGAATTAATTTTGAAAGGTCACTGGCCAGGAAGGTTAGTTAAGTGAAAATGTTACTAGCCCACATCATAGTTCACTGGCCCAGCAAAATATCAATATCAAAATGCACATCGGTCAGAATTTGTGTGATGTTTGGTAATTGAAGATGTTAAACGTTACATTTGTATTGTAAAGGTTCCTGACCTCTTTAAATTTTGCGCAACGCTATTAACATTTTTATATAGCGATCTTCCTTTGACAAGAGATAATAAATGTCACGAAACTTTTGCAGACTCACTTTTAACACCTTAATAATTCACATCATCATATTCATGTGAATTAAATAAAGAACAAATTATCTGAGATTTTCAACGAGCCAGTCGGGATAGCTTTAACAATATATTCCTGGCCCGATTCACAATCAGCTAGCATTTGGCTAGCGGGCCAGTAGCTATTTCGAACGCTGCGTGTGTGTCAGTATTATGGACTGGTTGTAGGTTCGGTGATGACTACTGGGCAATGGATGTCTGTATGGACTGTGCTGGAACAATTCAAGGCTGGTTTGAGATACTGGGCTACAGTAACAAAACCCTGCTGGAGAGTCAGACTTTCACCATAGCCCAGCCCGAGACATGTAGCGGCACAGCAGAGGAAGCAACCGCCGCAAGACCATTCAGCAGCGACTACCACGTCGGCTACTGCGGCCGCGTCAACGTGTTTAGATTCGGAGATGGCAACTGTACGATCAACCAATTGTAAGTGTATGTTTGGGACTGGGATAAACTCAGCATATTCCACTACCCAATAATCAGGGCTGTAAACATGCATCGAACTACCGATCGATTGCAATTGTTGAGTCTCCGATAGCAATTAATCGATGGTAGAAACGAAGACCTATCGATTGTTTGGTGTGGGGTTTTTTTCAGGGTGGGTTTTGGTTGTTTTGGGTTTTTTGGCGTTTATTTTTGTTACAATGGATTTGGATTTGGGTTTTTGTTTCTTCTATTGCTTTTTTATTATTATTATTATTATTATTATTTTATTTTTTTTGTAATCGTTCTTTATCCTTTTCATATTTTGTAGTGTTTATGTTTGTTTACTTGGTTTTTAGACACAATTGCCAGTGATAATCCACTGTGTTTTATGAGCACATACCAATGGGCAGACAAAGCAGGAGCGGTGGAAACTATATGACGGGTTACGGAACATCATGGATGATACTGGGTGTTCGCCAAACACAATTCCTGGTTTTGAGAAATCCAACACATCCAGAGATTATTTTTTTAAATATATTTTTAAATATATATTTGGTACAATGATCTGAGGCCGGCCTGCCCCTGGTAGTGGTGAGGATGGGTCAAGGGCGTACTGGAGCGGTTTGGTAGCCAAGTGGTTAAAGCGTTCGCCCGTCACGCCGAAGGCCCGGGTTCAATTCCCCACATGGGTACAATGTGTTAAGCCCATTTCTGGTGTCCCCCGCGGTGATATTGCTGGAATATTGCTAAAAGCGGCGTAAAACCATACCCACTCACTCCTGGACGACATAGACATCAAAAGAAATATTTTGGGTTTTCATGGGTTAACTCGAAACTCTTCTTTGGTCCTTGTACTGTTTAGTGGATGACTTCTTTTTCCATCGTTTTCTCGAAGTCTGTAGTTCGTTGAAGACAATGTATCCCCGTGGTCTTGGCATTATTCATACAGGCACTGGTTTCACGGAATCGTGACTTTAACTTCGGATAAATCGATGTTAAGAGGAAGGTCGTGAGGATTCAACTTCAGACTAGAATAAGTGAGTGAGTGAGTTTGGTTTTACGCCGATTTTAGAAATATTCCAGCAATAACACGGCGGGGACACCAGAAATGGGCTTCACACATTGTACCCATGTGGGGAATCGAGCCCAGGTCTTCAGCGTGACGAGCGAACGCTTTAACCACTAGGCTACCCCACCGCCCCGACTAGAATAAGGTTAACTCAGCTTCAAGAGGTGGATATAATGTGGGTTCATATTATCAGCCATGTGGTTCGTTTCCGCCAAGACTGCCGTGATATTGCTGTAAAGAAAATCATTTTTTCACTCACTTCATAACCCCACGGTATTTATAGAACCTATCTTCAGCAACCCAAGTTGTCGTAAGAGGCGACTAACGGGATCAGGTGGTCAGACTCCCCGACTTGGGATACAGTCATTGGTTCCCAATGTAGTTTGATGTGCATGCTGTTGATCACTGGATTTTCTGGTCCAGACTCGATTATGACAGACCGCAGCCATATAGCTGGAATATTGCTGAGTGCTGCGTAAAACTAAACTCATTCAATCACGTAAGAGGCGACTAACGGGATCGGGTGGTCAGGATCGCTGACTTAGACACATGTCACTGTATCCTAATTGCGTAGACCGATGCTCATGCTGTCATCCACTGCATTATTTGGTCCAGGATCAAATTATTTACAGACGGCTTTCGGGGCGGTAAAATCAGCAACAAACAAACAATGCATACAAACTCATTCGAGTTCTTATTATACGATCTTTGTACAGCAACTCACCCGACTCAGACACCACCGCGAACCAGGCACAAGCAACAGCATCAACATCGACCACGACTAGCACGACAGCAAGATTGTGCCCGTCCGGTAGGTTGTGAACTAAAGTATTTTAGTATTACAGATACTGCGTTAACACTCACTCACTCACTCACTCACTCACTCACTCACTCACTCACTCACTCACTCACTCACTCACTCACTCACTCACTCACTCACTCACTCACTCACTCACTCACTCACTCACTCACTCACTCACTCACTCACTCACTCACTCACTCACTCACTGCACCCACCCACCCACCCACCCACACTCCACTCCTCCATACAGGCTACTCACTCACTCACTCACTCACTCACCACTCACTAGTAGTATAAATGAGAAAAAACGGTTTAGGTGCATCTTGCTCAGAAGCCTCCATACAGGCTAATTCTGCTACCAGCCTAGTAACAAATGAGTGTTTGCCCAAACCCTTCGACAAGACCACTTTTCGGCTGCTCCCAATGCAGTGCACTCCCGATTAGAGCTATGTGGGTGCATGGATATAGAAAAATGCCAGGAACCAAGCTCTCGCGCGAAGCCTATACCGAGATCCGATCGGGTCATTTCTCCCTTCGGGAAGCGAAGAGGAAGTACCACATATTGCAAGCTCGATACACGCGAATCCAAGGTGGTATAGACCCCGAGCCCCAGACGACGACAACTCCCGACATGGCCGAAGACTTCGAGGCCCTGCTGCAGAAGTGTTGCCCCATGTTGCTTTCCGACCGAGAGAAACAAATCCTGGAGCAATCGGGACACACCTTCTACGAACGCTACCAGATCCCACGCCAGTTTCTCGAACTCTATTTGCTGTGCTTTCGCCCACTAGTAGAAGCCGGCAAAATAGTCGATTTCGTCTACATCTACCCACCCCACCAATTTCGACCCTCGGCGGGGAAACTCCGAATCATTCTCGCCGAAGACTGCTATCCAGGCCCCAAGGACAGACACAACCGATGCATCGACTGTCTCGCCACTCTATCGGAACTGCCTGTTCTCTTCAGACCCGACAACTCTACGTGCAAGTGTGGCACCACCGACCACTGCGTCGACAGCAAGAAATGCGTTCTCTGGGAAAAGAAAGTGATACTTATGCAAAAAGTTTGCTGTAGCGAGATACGAAGGCTGCCTGCAGAGCGTATTGCCTGCTGCAGAGCCGACTGCGCCCACCATCCAGGACTTCTACGACCGCTTGGGGAGGCTAGAGGCTCATGTGGAGCAAACTGCGGCGATGTCCGCTCGTGTGGAGCAAACCACGAATACGTTGCCGGCTCGTGTGGAGCAAACCACGAATTTTTTGGTCGACATATTGTCGATGCTGGACAAGGACGCCGAGGAAGAGGAAATAGAAAACGTCGAGGAGGAGCAAGAAGAGACCCGTCTGGATATCCATAAGGTGCGGCAGATGCTAGAAACAGCCTAAAGGTGGACCTACCTTTCGCTAGCCGCTGTTTTTCTCTGGAAGGTCGTCTACAAGACCTGGAAGCACAGCATACCAGTTTCCCCCTTCGTGCACCCCCTCCACACACCGACTGAGAAGGTAGAAACACCCAAGACCAAACGTGGGGATCCCTTCCATATGGAGTAGAGTGTGGAATGCAGCGGTTTTGGGGAAAAAAAGTATTGTAGAAAGGGTATACTTTCCGTACCACGAATTCCAAGAAAAGCAGTTGGAATACGAAAACGGGCCTAGACAAGTGTACAACTCCATTCGTCCTTTGCAACCCCCAGCCTGCGACTGCATCTGCAAATATACTAGGCGAGCTGTCGGAGGGTCTACTCTCCTAGCCCTGCGGTGTCTGGAAGGACCCATAGAACCTATTCTCGCCCAAGGTCTGGAAGCAGTAATTCTACTTCTCTATCGTCTTTCTTTTCCGATATAGGCGAGTAGCAGATTTTGCCGAGCATGCACAGAAACGGTTCCCTCACCAACCGTAGGCGTTCTATTCCACCGGCGGCCCGAATCGTTTCTCGTATCTTGTAGCCGTAGACTGGAACCGTTTCCCCAGTCGGGGGATCGAGTAGCAACAACAGCCGGTTCTTCCCTTCGTATCTCGCTACAGCATACTTTTTGCATAAGTAGACTCCTTCTGGGACGTTCGCGGCTTTTCGGTGTTCGCTGCATGGAGGGGGTGCTACTTCCATATTCTTGGGCCCGCCGTAGTTGGGCAAAGGGGTATGCCAAATATTGCTCCGTCCCTGTGGTACCTCTACTTCCCCCGATAGCAGCCGGAAGATGCAAGACTCTTTCTCCTTGCACGGACAATGGTCCACCAATTTGCTGGCGAGGAGTGCGTACCGTATGCTCCAGAAAGCGCAGGCGTTGTCGTACAGGTTCTCTATATTCACGAAACAGCTGTCGACCACGATCTCTTCTGGAACCTCGAGTGGGAGTCGCTCCTGGGGTGTGTAGTCTATCGCTTTCTTTTCCCAGAGAACGCATTTCTTGCTGTCGACGCAGTGGTCGGTGGTGCCACACTTGCACGTAGAGTTGTCGGGTCTGAAGAGAACAGGCAGTTCCGATAGAGTGGCGAGACAGTCGGTGCATCGGTTGTGTCTGTCCTTGGGGCCTGGATAGCAGTCTTCGGCGAGAATGATTCGGAGTTTCCCCGCCGAGGGTCGAAATTGGTGGGGTGGGTAGATGTAGACGAAATCGACTATTTTGCCGGCTTCTACTAGTGGGCGAAAACACAGCAAATAGAGTTCGAGAAACTGACGTGGGATCTGGTAGCGTTCGTAGAAGGTGTGTCCCGATTGCTCCAGGATTTGTTTCTCTCGGTCGGAAAGCAACATGGGGCGACACTTCTGCAGCAGGGCCTCGAAGTCTTCGGCCATGTCGGGAGTTGTCGTCGTCTGGGGCTCGGGGTCTATACCACCTTGGATTCGCGTGTATCGAGCTTGCAATATGTGGTACTTCCTCTTCGCTTCCCGAAGAGACAAACGCCCCGAGAGCTTGGTTCCTGGCATTTTTCTATATCCATGCACCCACATAGCTCTAATCGGGAGTGCACTGCATTGGGAGCAGCCGAAAAGTGGTCTTGTCGAAGGGTTTGGGCAAACACTCATTTTTTACTAGGCTGGTAGCAGAATTAGCCTGTATGGAGGCTTCTGAGCAAGGTGCACCTATACCGTTTTTTCTCTCCATTCCCTATACTACTCGACTACGACTAGCACGACAGCAAGATTGTCACTCAAAAGTATTTTAGTATTACAGATACTGCGTTACACTCACTCACTCACTCACTCACTCACTCACTCACTCACTCACTCACCCACCACCCACCCACACTCACTCACTCACTCACTCACTCACTCACTCACTCACTCACTCACTCACTCACTCACTCACTCACTCACTCACTCACTCACTCACTCACTCACTGTTGCAGGTATGAGCAGGACTATGGTACTGATTCAGTACAACTCCACGGACCAGGAAGTGTTTGTATCGGGAGGTGTTCCTGCAAACTACACCACAGGTACAAGAGACCGTCTCTGGAGCTAATTGCGTAATATGTTTACTCTAAACTGCATCTGTCAGTCCGCTTTGACATAAACTGTGAAACAGACACGTTGTAAAAAAAAACGTGCTGCAGTAAAGTTATGTATCGTTGCACCGATAAATAAATCTCGACACCCCGAAAAAGCAATGATAATAGGGATGATAACAATAATCATATTCCCCGGAAAGGTAGTGGTCCCATTTGCCGTCTGGGCTCCGTGTAGAGGGAACAAGGGCCCCGGGCTCATGATGAGCCTTACCAGCCTGACTGTGCCAGGATCACCTGGACCCTTTCTCTGGGCTGCATGTAGAGGGGGCAAGGGCCCCGGGCTCATGATGAGCCTTACCAGCCTGACTGTGCCAGGATCACCCGAACCCTCTCTCTGGGCTGCGTGTAGAGGGGGCAAGGGCCCTGAGCTGATGATGAGCCTTACCAGCCTATCTGTGCCAGGACCACCCGAACCCTCTCTCTGGGCTGCGTGTAGAGGGGGCAAGGGCCCTGAGCTGATGATGAACCTTACCAGCCTGACTGTGCTAGGATCATCTGACCTTTCTCAGCTGCAGAGTATTTTTTAATCGGTAAAACTTACTGAGGACGGTGACAGTGATGGTGATAATGCTGATGATGATGACAATGGCGATCATGACGATGATGATGATGATATTCTCCCTTCAGCTGAACCGTCCAGGATTGAGATCAATCACCTCGTGTTAGGTACAGGTGCATACTTCGACGCTTACAACGCCTGGGCTGCAGGTGACGACTTCCTCGACTACGATGGCGGTGAGGCTGACCAAGGTCGGTACAACAACGTCTCGGCGGCAGGGTCGCCGACGGTGAGGACAAGCAAAAACATCATCAGCCCGGCTTACTACGTCTACAATACGTGAGTGATTTGTGTTTTTCATAACCGCTTGGACCGAGCTTCGCGTGTACAATTACAATATACCGAAAGCAATAAAGCTTGCATTAACATCGATTTGGTTCAGAAATTTCAGTTTTTGGACTATTCCTCTTGTTGCCAGTCAGGGAGTGGTGGGTTAGCCTAGTGGTTAAAGCCCATTTCTGATGTCCCCTGCCGTGATGTTGCTGGAATATTGCTAAAGCCGGCGTAGACCCATACTCTTTCACTCTCCCTGGGAAGGGTTTATCCACAATTAAACTATTGTTATGATTGGGTTCAACTGGGTACTTGAGGTGGTGGGGTAGTCCAGTGGTTAAAGCGTTCGCTTGTCACGCTGAAGACCCGGGTTCGATTCCCCACATGGGTACAATGTGTGATACCCATTTCTGGTGTCCCCTGCCGTGATAGTGCTGGAATATTGCTAAAAGCGGCGTAAACCCCAAATCATCCACTCACTCTTACTCACTGTAGCCTCGGCGACGACGTATACTCCATGGAGGTGTGCATGAACTGCAGCCAGACCTACAACGGCTGGTTCGAGGTGTACCTGACGTGGGCTGGCGGACATGAGCCTCGGTTGAACCAGGACAGATTGTGTTCCGGTAGCGCCAACGCCAACGAGAGGGCCAGGAACATCACCGGGTCGTACCACATTGCATTTTGTGGGAAACTAAATGAATTCTACACCAACAGCACCTCCTGCTCTATCAGTAACCCTTAAACGTGGAAATGGTATTTTTTACTTCCGTCCGAATAAACGGTATTCGGGTTTTCAGTGTGCGCGTTGTAATTTGTCACAGACATCATATCACTTGTAACAGCGCAAGGATTTTCTTAACTGATTCAAGTTTTTGGTGGCTATACCTCTTTGACATTTTCACTATCACGCAGGCAGAACCTAGAGCATCACGTGTCTCTATCCAGTGTACATGCATAGTATGTGTTTATTTTTGTGTCTGTCCCGATTCTTTATTTCAGTACAGTCAAATCAGCAGAGCAACGTAAACTTAACGGCACATTTATATATCGACGATTGTCCTTATATACTATCCAAAACAAGAAACGCATAGGCCGGAAATCTGTTGCGAAAATGTTGTAATTTCAAACATGTATAACTCGTCCACAAATAGACTTTAGTACATGGAGTTTTACACCAGTTTATAAAAAGGTAATATCGATACACCTGAACTGAACCGAACTGAACTTTTATTCACTCAGGCTGCAAACTGCAGCATAAGATCTCTAGAGGTACATAAATAATATTTACATTTATATACAACATAAAATGTATCTACAAGCGGTATGATAGGTGCAATGTACATCGAGCTAGTTACATGTTAAGTTATTGTAATTATTTCTTAAGTAAAACCATAATTATTTTACCAAAAATTGAGTTTTCTTAAAGTTCCTAGTTTTTTGGTGTTAATATATTCAATTTATACATATTTGGTCTAATATAATAATACTTCTGGATATATTTCTTTCTAATTCTCATTTGGGACATATAAATAAATAATGAAATTCGTCACGAATATCATTTAGGTTACACATAGTACACCTTCTATCATTTACTGGGATTCGTCGCTATCTACCTTTCTCGATTGGAAGAAAATGATTTGAAGTTCGAAATTTTAACAAGTTATTGTAATGCAGAAAATTTAGGTATGGTTCAATGTTGAGAGATGGATTTTTGAAAATGTTATAAGTAGTTGCTTCGGATACTTTTAAATAACGGATACGCTGAGCGCGATGGTGACGACGTAGCACGGTCCCGACGTCGGGACTCCTGGCTCTCAGACCAATCTCTCTCAATCTGTTCCGTGCAGTTTCACCGGATATCCTCCGAAGTCCAGGCACCCTGGCTGCAGTGCTCTCACCCGTGGCAGTACGACCACGCAAATGTAGTACCCGGATGTACCGATCTTGGACTGCAGTGGTGACTCAAGGTCTGCCTGTACTTGGACGGTCATTTGTTATACCTGTTTGGTTGAAACGATCTGCAAGCCGTGAAATCGTGCTCAGACTAACATTCAGACGCCTGGCAACAGAAGACTGGTAATCTCACAGCGTCATAACGTGGCGTTGTCATTTGACCTTGAAACTGCTTCAAAACGAATGCCGATTTCGGAAAGTAATCTGGATTTTTAAAGCCAGACAGTACATGCTCTTTGCTGCACAATTTCCACTGGAATGTGATTTCTGTTGCGTTGTGGCGATGCCTGTTTAATCTTTGTAAGAAATCTCATCAAAATCAACATTTTCAGGTAACGTCGATTTTTTACAAATGCAATTGTAATCATGTTATCAACACATTTGTTACATAGTTTGACGATTGTTTGAACACAATAGGTAATTAACAGATTTTTTAAAATATAAATCGTCTATGCGTTTCTTTTGTGGGATAGTATATTATGGATCGTCGATATTCACCAGGCATCCTGGGCCCCGTTTCACAAAGATCTCGTAAGCCTAAGATCTTTCTCGTAGCATTCGCACCTCTTATACTGTAACATAGGAGGGTTAAGGTGTAAGCTGCTCCCCAGCTCCCTTTGCGCGAGCTAACTTGCGATATGCGAGACGGGGCCCAGCTTATGTTAAGGTGACGTTGTGTTGTCATTAACAACGTGTGACGTCATATAGGTGTGTTCTCATTGTGTGACTTGGAGAAACAACCTGTATCATGCAATACAGTTGCAACATCAGAACATCCTTATTGTAACTATTTAAATCGCATACAGGTAGTTGCAGCTAAGTTAGGTTCGTGCCTTTGCGAGGATTACAGATTTAGAAAAAATATATAATTTGAGATGACCCCCGACTCGAAATGAATGAGTACCGAGCATTCGGGTTGGGGTCCATCTCAAATTTATTTCTTTATTTTTAAAAATCCGTAATCCTCACAAAGACACGAGCTCGAGGTCTCATGGTTGCAGCCTTGCACGGCAGCAGCGGGAATAGACATGTGCATTTGATGCACGGGCATTTCGTGATAACTGTGTGCTGCTGACTAAACAGTTCTGTGTACAGGTATCTGGGACTGCGATCAGTTGGTCCTTGCATTAAAGGGACGCAACTCTATGGTGGTGGTGGAATTGGGTTTAACGTCGTGCTTGAGAATATTTCGCTCATATGCCGACGTGCATGCGTGTGTTTGTGCATGCTGCTGCTTGTACTAGCCCAGACTGTAGCTGGTTTTATAGTGCTAGACCACTGGAGATACCATGCCGCAGTGAAGCATGAATACCCCACTCAGACACATTATACTGACTCCGAGCCGACTGACCAGTCCTTGTTGTACCCATTAATGCCGAGCGTCAGGCAGGGACCAACAAGTACCATATTTTAACGTCTTTTGGTATGACGCGGTCGGGGATCGAACCCGCGACCTTCCGTAATCCGGGCGGAACTCTATGCAGCATTTACACCGATCTTATAGTTTTAGTAAAACTAAAAACATTTAATCAGATTCACTTTTCAAACGATTTAAGAAATCAGGAGTTGAGAAAAGAAACCCTCTGACTTCGGTCGAATCAAGCTGGAACATGATCATTTGCACGTCACGTGCACCTTCTCGATTGGAAGAAAATGATTTGAAGTTCGAAATTTTAACAAGTTATTGTAATGCAGAAAATTTAGGTATGGTCTAAATGTTGAGATGGATTTTTGAAAATGTTATGGAAGCGTTTCTTCGATACTTTTTAAATAACGGATCGCTGAGCGCGATGGTGACGACGTAGCACGGTCCCGACGTCGGGACTCCTGGCTCTCAGACCAATCTCTCTCAATCTGTTCCGTGCAGTTTCACCGGATATCCTCCGAAGTCCAGGCACCCTGGCTGCAGTGCTCTCACCCGTGGCAGTACGACCACGCAAATGTAGTACCCGGATGTACCGATCTTGGACTGCAGTGGTGACTCAAGGTCTGCCTGTACTTGGACGGTCATTTGTTATACCTGTTTGGTTGAAACGATCTGCAAGCCGTGAAATCGTGCTCAGACTAACATTCAGACGCCTGGCAACAGAAGACTGGTAATCTCACAGCGTCATAACGTGGCGTTGTCATTTGACCTTGAAACTGTTTCCAAAACGAATGCCGATTTCTGGAAACAATCGAAAAGTAATCTGGATTTTAAAGCCAGACAGTACATGCTCTTTGCTGCACAATTTCAACCACTGAATGTGATTTCTGTAAGTTGCGTTGTGGCGATGCTTTCCGTTTAATCTTTATAGTAAGAAATCTCATCAAAATCAACATTTTCAGGTAACGTCGATTTTTACAAAATGCAATTGTAATCATGTTATCAACACATTTGTTACATAGTTTGACGATTGTTTGAACACAATAGGTAATTAACAGATTTTTTAAAATATAAATCGTCTATGCGTTTCTTTTTTGGGATAGTATATTATGGATCGTCGATATTCACCAGGCATCCTGGGCCCCGTTTCACAAAGATCTCGTAAGCCTAAGATCTTTTCTCGTAGCATTCGTACCTCTCATACTGTAACATAGGAGGGTTAAGGTGTAAGCTGGTTCCCAGCTCCCTTTGCGCGAGCTAACTTGCGATATGCGAGACGGGGCCCAGCTTAGGTTAAGGTGACGTTGTGTTTTTATTAACAACGTGTGACGTCATATAGGTTTGTTCTCATGCTGTGACTTGGAGTAACAACCTGTATCATGCAATACAGTTGCAACATCAGAACATCCCTTATCGTAACTTTTTAAATCGCATACAGGTAGTTGCAGCTACAGGCCCTCGTGTCTTTGCGAGGATTACAAATTTAGAAAAATATATAAATTTGAGATGACCCCCGACCCGAAATGAATGAGTAGCATTCGGGTTGGGTTCATCCCAAATTTATTTCTTTTATTTTTTTTAAATCCGTAATTCTCACAAAGACACGAGCTCGAGGTCTGTGGGTGCAGCCTAGCACGGCAGCAGCGGGAATAGACATGTGCATTTTGATGCACGGGCATTTCGTGATAACTGCTGTGTGCTGCTGACTAAATGAAGTTCTCTGTACAGGTATCTGGGACCCAAACCCGCGATCAGTTGGTCCTTGCATTAAAGGGACGCAACTCTATGGTGGTGGTGGAATTGGGTTTAACGTCGTGCTTGAGAATATTTCGCTCATATGACGTCGTGCATGCGTGTTTGTGCATGTGCTGCTGCTTGTACTAGCCCAGACTGTAGCTGGTTTTATAGTTTCAGAGAAGTGCTAGCCCACTGAGATACCATGCCGCAGTGAAGCATGAATACCCCACCTGGTGAGACACATTATACTGACTCTGAGCTGACCAGTCCTGTTGTAACCCATTAATGCCGAGCGCCAGGCAGGGACCAACAAGTACCATATTTTAACGTCTTTTGGTATGACGCGAACCCGCGACCTTCCGTACTCCGGGCGGAACTCTATGCAGCATTTACACCGATCTTATAGTTTTAGAAAAAATAAAACATTTAATCAGATTCAATTTCAAACGTGATTTAAGAAATCAGGAGTTGAGAAAAGAACCTCGACTTCGGTCGAATCAAGCTGGAACATGATCATTTGCACGCACGTGCACCTCTATTGACTGAGCATGTTGAGCACGTGCAGCACGCGAGGCAGGTGAAGGTATGGCACAGCGAACACTTTGTCTAGAGCAGTGGATACAGCAAGCATGGTGTTCTACATTAGATTGGCGATTGTCGTCACATTTCTCGTGAGTTGTATATGCTTTCAGAGTTTTTTAAGATATATTCCATCCCGAACATGTAATTGTTAATTATAGTAATGGTTCCGACGTTTGGCAATACATGAGCTTGAGAACTGCTTGTAAATGAAAGACCGAAAACTATCAAGTCATACAATTTAGTTCTATGAACTAAATATGAGGTTAGCTGTCAGCACCATAGAGAGGTAACAGTTCCCCCCGTTCCCCCATCCCAAATAATTTGTATAAATATTCTAGAATTATAAACATAACTTAACACAACAATTACTAGAGAACTCACAAAATGATTAAAAGTCCAAAATTTAAGTTAGGGCTAGGTTTAGGGTTAGGGTTGGGTTTAGGGTTAGGTTTAGAGTTTGGTTTAGAGTTGGGGGAACGGAAGGAACTCTTTCCCCATAGAGACTATAATGTACCGTGTAATACCATACTTATGAAACGAGTGAATGGTTTGGTATCTATCGCCCTGAAGCGAGCTGATACCAACGGGTCGGGGAAACCTACAGTCTAAGTAAACTTAGATGAGATATTATTCGTAACGAATAATACTGAGCCTAAGTTTACTTAGACCGGGGATACCTACCGATCGGCCTATAATAGGCCAAACGGGATGTTATAGGACCACACAGTTGGAACGTGTACGCCTGGACAGAGTTACGCACCAGGAAGTGAACGAGCTGCTATGCTAACGGTGAGTTTGCTTCCTGCATTAGGCTTCCTAATGACGTCACGGGATTCCCCGTCTCGCTATGAGCGGGCTTTACAAGTTGGAAAATGGCATAAAATAAAAGCTGCCATGCCCTGTAAACGTGCTCTTATTCCACAAATAAACAATCTTCATAAACAATAATAGCAATACTTAACAGAATTATTACGAAATCAGCTCTGCCAAGCGTCACAATACATGTTAGTAGGATCCAAATGCACAGCGACCATCCCACGCCTCTCTCGACTCGGCTGTGATGGCTGCCGTTTGTGCTGATCGGTCATTCACATCGGCTCCACTTATTATTGCAGGCGGAATTATTCTTATTGACTACATTAATTTTAATTGCACGAAAAAAAGTAATAATTTTTATAACTTCCGAAAAAGTCACTTTATCATCATGTAGCTTAACTTAAGTGTATTTTTAGATTATTTTCTCGATGTCGGGTCGAGTCAAAACTTGCACGGAGACAATCTTGAAGATAAAGGCATTTGAGAAATACAGCGGTAATAAAATATGAAGATCGCACGTAACACTGAATTTTTGGGATGTGTAAATAATAACGGCTTTAATTAATTAACAGAATTCGACGAACCGGAAATGATATGCCCGGTATTACTTTGCACGGGTATAAATAAAGTGTCACCACGAGTCGCACGAGACGAATACTCGTTCAACATGTGCTTAAATACCGATGTGGAGCGCCTCATATCCGATCAGCAATAGCATGTATGTATTGCATTGACTTTCAACAATTTATTAATATTTAGTAGTCCAATAAAAACCAGTTCAGATGCATTTTGATACATTATGAAAGTACCGTTATCTTATTTTGGGGGATAGATACGTTCATGTAAACATTGCGCTTCAAAGCAGTTTGCATCGAGGCCGAGTAACAGACAAGTTGTCAAGTTGAAATCGAAAGAGGTGTACGGAAATATTGGGGCTATTATGGTATATGAAATGGAAATTGTTTGTTGCGTTTTTAGGCTTCTTTGACCATCCCTGTACTATCTTGAAAACGATACACTTTGTGGCCCTTTACTGAAGTTTCTATTAATATATTTTCTGGAATTCCCCTTTTGAACGTTGTCAATAATATTGCTGTTACAAATACTAATATAGGTACACATAAAATTGTTAATACGAAAATAGAAAAAAATAATATTTTGTATTGTATTTACATATCACATTAAATTGACACAAATCTTTGAGAGATGATCCTGACACAATTGAATGCTTCACTGAACCTCAAGATCCCGACATTGCCGGAAACGTCTTGAAAAATGAAGATATATCACATTTGACATGAATGTTTAGTTGTGATAAAAAAATGAAGTGTACTAAGTATTGAAAATACATGTGTTCATGATAAATGTTTGTGAAGATAAGAATGTGTACTTACCTTGTTTCCCACTGCGTTAAACATCAGACAGCTATGGCAAACTAGATGCACAACGACGGGTTTGTATGGTATTGTGCTACTTAAAGCAACTCTATGTTTACAGGGTGTATACGTATATATTTCATGCTTTGAATGTGATTGTATAAATGATTGCTTCTATGCATAAATACGTCACAGACCTTAGTATGGGTGTAAAATGACATGTAGAGAGAGTGTGTGTGTGTGAGAAAGAGAGGGAGGGAGAAAGAAAGAGAGAGAGAGGACGAGCACTATGTTGTGATTACCCAATATATAACTTGAGGTTTGGTCTTCAGCAACACATGGGTGTTTGTCGTAAGAGGTAACTAACATGATAAAGTAGTCAGGTTCGCTCAGTTGGTTGTTACATGTCATCAAATCCACATTGCGTAGTACTTACGATGTCAGTCACTGGTTTGACTGGTCCCAACAAAATTATTTGTAGCCCCTTTCATATAGCTTCAATATCGCTGGGTGTTGTGTGAAACGACAAACATATTTAATGGGTTGGAAGGATTCGATGAAACAAGGGCATGTGTATAGCTGAAAGTATGATAACTCCTCATCAAATTCATCTTCTTTCTCTTGTAAAATATGATGTAATGTTATGTAGGAGGTTACATACAATACATGTATGGTATACTGCCATAACATATGTAGCAACAGAAAACTGAACAGAAAACATTTAACCTTAACATTGTAGATGCATTTTCTGTTATTACTTTTCCAAAGTTGAAAAACTACAAATTAATGAAAACTTTTATTTTATGATAATTAAGGAAATTAGTACATAAACATACTGGTAACTGGTTTAGATAGAGATAACATCATGTTATCTGTTTGGTAAATACCTATTTATACTATACTGAGATGGCATGATTTAAACTCTTACATTATCTGCTTTTTTTGTTGCAAACAATGAGTTCATATTCCATTCTTTTGCGGTGGATAAGGAATGATTGCAATAACATAAGTTGTCCAGAAAGTAAGGGGATGTAACTCTAAATACTATTCTTCTGAGGCCACTGTGTAATGATGACCAAGTCATTCATTTATAGTTGTAAAGAAATATCATGTGTTAGTGAAGCAGACAACCCTCAGTTCCATGCAGTGGTGGGCCATGGACTTGTTTGGGCAGAGTTTGGTGGTTTTTATTCTCCCTTAAACAGTACTTTAACATTCTACAAACACATTCTCATTGTGTATTGAGGTGACAATACATTTCAAGAAAACATAGGTTGTATTATTTTGGAACTTAGATCTCGTTCTGTCTAATTTTATGTGAGTGAATAAACCAACTATAACAGGCAGATACAAGAGTTACCTCCCTTTACGCAGATAACAGTTAATTCTCAACACCTTTCAAAGTCATTTTTAACGCAATGCATGTGTATTTTGATACATTTTTTTACATGAAATATTTTCATAATGTTAGATCTACTACAGGTTCTCAGATTATTCATCAGCAAGCAACATTACACATTCGTCTAGGATCCCTACCTGCATTCAGTTTAGCATTTTGTGTTAAAAACAAACTATTATAGACATTTGTGATTTGATAAGAATTTGTTTTTGACACAAACTGCTAAACTGACTGCAGGAAGCAAACTCACCGTTAGCATAACGACTCGTTTACTTCCTGGTGCATAACGATGGGAAAGAGTTCCTTCCGTTCCCCCAACTCTAAACCAAACTCCAAACTCTAAACCAAACTCTATACCAAACTCTATACCAAACTCTAAACCTAACCCTAAACCTAGCCCTAACTTAAATTTTGGACTTTTAATCATTTTGTGAGTTCTCTAGTAATTGTGTTAAGTTTTGTTTATAATTCTAGAATATTTATACAAATTATTTGGGATGGGGGAACGGGAGGAACTCTTACATAACGATGTCCAGGCGTACACGTTCCTGCAGTGTGGACGTTCTGCCTATTTAGCTATAGGCCGATCGGGCTATATTTGAACATGTTAATAATTATTTCACAAAATATCAGTTTCCGCACGAAATGGTTTTGTATGATCATAGAGTAGTTAATGGACCTCCTCAGCTTGAAAAAAATAAGTTTTGGGACAAAATGGAAATTTATATCATATTCAGGAAAAGATGTTTTATAGATTTTCCTTTTGAAAACTAAAACTGAATATCCATGTCATAACTTTTCAGTGAAAATTGTCAAAAATATTATTGACTTATATTTAAATAGCAATTTCCAAATGAAAACCTCAGGACATCAAAACTTGAATGATGTTAATATCCTCATGCGGTAGCCTAGTGGTTAAAGCGTCCGCTCGTCACGCCAAAGACCCGGGTTCGATTCCCCACATGGGTACAATGTGTGAAGCCCTTTTCTGGTGTCCCCCGCCGTGATATTGCTGGAATATTGCTAAAAGCGGCGTAAATCTAAACTCAGTCAGTCAGTCAATCACTGGATTCTCTGGTCAGGACTCGATTGGTTACAGGCCGCCGCCAAACAGCTGGAATGTTCCTGTTGAACAACGAATAAATTTTGTCATGCCACGTTTCACACAGTCATTCACCCACTACTATTCGACGTTTCTTTTTACAGGTTTCAGTATACGGTGGTATTCCGGAAAGTTACAACCTGAAAGGTAATCCTTGCACATGTGGCCTTTCGTTATCCCACGCGGCCAAACAGGTTGCAGAGGATCCCACTGTTGGTAAACATAGCCCTCGGCAACGTCTAAGTGAAAGTGGACAATTATCGAAAATGTCTATCAGTCGGTTTTAGGATGTGTTGTTGGTTGTTTAACTCAGCCATATTACGGCAGCACGGTGGTCAGTAAATAATCGATCTGGACCAGACAATCCAGTGATTTAAGGTATGAGCATCTAACTAGGGAATTCGGGTACGATGACGACCAACAAGCAGAATCGTAATTCTAAATACCCGTGAAAGTCCGGATTAGAATATTGGCCTTCAGTAACTCATGCTTGTCGTAAGAGGCGACTAACGGGATCGGATGGTCAGGTTCGCTGACTTGGTTGACACATGTCATCGGTTCCCAATTGCGCAGATCGATGCTCGTGTTGTTGATCACTGGATTGTCTGGTCCCAACTCGATTATTAACAGACCGCCGCCATATAGCTGGTATATTGCTGAGTGCGGCGTAAAACTAAACTCACTCACTCGTAATTTTAAAGTAAAATACCGCTTGTAGTTTGACTAAATTCAGTAAATGATCGTGCAACTGGAATTTTTTGGTCCATAACTTGAGTATGCACCACCTGCTTTCATCACTCGTCGATCCATTCACCGCTGTTTTATTATGAACAAAGTCCCTTGTACCACGATGACATGAATCAACCATTTGTTCATAATAACGATTACCGGTTTGTTTGTCAGCCCCACCCACCATCACCTACCCTAGAACTCGTACCCTCGAGAATTCGGGTGACGATAAGCCCCGCCCCCAATAATTGGGTGACGATAAGCCCCGCCTCGAATAATTCGGGTGACGATAAGCCCCGCTCTCAATACTTCGGGTGACGATAAGACCCGCTCCCAGGAATTCGGGTGACGATAAGCCCCACCCCGGGATTTGGGTGGCCATAAGCGCCGTGGACGGCGTAAGACTGAACTGACTAATTGCGTGTCATCATCTCCGAAAGCTTGGGCTGCTGATGTTAATATTAGTCACTGGATTATCTAGTCCAGATTCCATAATAGCTTGAATATTTACGACTGAGACGCCATGCGTTTATCTTGAATCTTACTTCCGTTCACCCAACTTTCAGTGAGCACGAACTGCGGTAAGGATCATGTTGCCGATGCTGTCGTGACGGTGTTGACGGACCTCCCGAGGGCGTTTGTCTTCGCCAAGTGTGCGACGGGAAGTGCTGACTTCACCAGCAGCGATGGTACCACCTACAAACTTCCTGTCTCCTTCCCTGGAAAGGGAACTTCCAAATGTAAATTCCTGGTAAGTCATTACGTCACTCGATCCATTCCTGGTAAGTCATTACGTCACTATATCCATTCCTGGTAAGTCATTACGTCACTATATCCATTCCTGGTAAGTCATTACGTCACTATATCCATTCCTGGTAAGTCATTACGTCACTCGATCCATTCCTGGTAAGTCATTACGTCACTATCCATTCCTGGTAAGTCATTACGTCACTCGATCCATTCCTGGTAAGTCATTACGTCTCTCGATCCATTCCTGGTAAGTCATTACGTCTCTCGATCCATTCCTGGTAAGTCATTACGTCACTCGATCCATTCCTGGTAAGTCATTACGTCACTCGATCCATTCCTGGTATGTCATTACGTCACTCGATCCATTCCTGGCAAGTCATTACGTCACTCGATCCATTCCTGGCAAGTCATTACGTCACTCGACCCATTCCTGGCATGCCATGACGTCACACGATCCATTCCTAGTAAGTCATTACGTCACTCGATCCATTCCTGGTAAGTCATTACGTCACTCGATCCATTCCTGGTATGTCATTACGTCACTCGATCCATTCCTGGTATGTCATTACGTCACTCGATCCATTCCTGGTAAGTCATTACGTCACTCGATCCATTCCTGGCAAGTCATTACGTCACTCGACCCATTCCTGGCATGCCATGACGTCACTCGATCCATTCCTGGTAAGTCATTACGTCACTCGATCCATTCCTGGTAAGTCATTACGTCACTCGATCCATTCCTGGTATGTCATTACGTCACTCGATCCATTCCTGGTAAGTCATTACGTCACTCGATCCATTCCTGGTAACAGACGAGCCTCGATAGTTTATCCATCCTTCGCGACATAGAGGAACCCATGTTGGGTAGCAATCGCTTAGACGCTGAACATATACAACTAAAGGAAAACAAAGAGCTCCATTCAAACTGAACATGGAGCCCCAGTGAGATGTAACTGTGGCTATATTGAGACAGAATATCATTTTTTATTGATCTGTACAGTAATCTAATAATAATAAACGATACATTGCCAAGAAATATTATGGATATCCTACTGTGACAAAATATAATATGCTCTTTTTTTCTAACCAAACGTCTGTTAGATATTTAGCCTGTTTCATTTAACATGCTGTAGTAAAGTGAACTACCTCATGTACATCTCTGTATTAGAAATGTAGCCTGTTTCTTAAACAATGCGGGGCGGTGGGGTAGCCTAGTGGTTAAGGCGTTCGCTCGTCACGCCGGAGACCCGGGTTCGATTCCCCACATGGGTACAATGTGTTAAGCCCATTTCTGGTGTTCCCCGCCGTGATATTGCTGGAATATTGCTAAAAGCGGCGTAAAACCAAACTCACTCACTCACTTTAACAATGCCTCGCAGCTTACTCCTGCTGTAGTAAAGTGAACTACCTCATGTATAGTCCGTTTGGCTCAAAAGCGGACCGATGGATTGCAATCTAACTCGAAAACTAATAAACATAAAATACTCAATGAAACACTGATCATAATCAAAACCTCAGACTAACTCTGTGAGGTTTTTGCAGAATTTATGTCATAAACATAAAAATATGTTTAACAAACTATCATTAAAATATCGACACAATTCACTATTTGTTACGTGGGAGGAGTGCAGAGAAAGAGACAGCTCGGTGTGCGAGAAAGGTTGGAGACAGCACAGCACAGGTTAACGAATTAATAACTTTGTCGGCACTTGTGCACGTGCTTCTCGAACACCTAGCTGTCCCTTTCTCTGCACTCCTCCCTCGTAACAAATGGTGAACTGTGTCAAAATTTTAATGATAGTTTGTTAAACAACTTTTTTAATTTTAGAACATAAATTCTGCACACGAATCAGAGTTGGTCTGATGTTTTGAATATGATCAGCGTTTCATTGAGTATTATGTGTTTATTAGTTTTCGCGTTAGATTGCAATTCATTGGACCGCTTTTGAGCCAAACGGACTATACATCTCTGTATTAGAAATGTAGCCTGTTTCTTTAACAATGCCTCGCAGCTTACACCTGCTGTAGTAAAGTGAACTACCTCATGTACATCTCTGTAATACATATATCTAATATCTATATACATGTACTTATGTGTAATGGACCAATCGGGGGCAGTTGGCATCAAGTGCACTGAAATAAAGAAATTGAGATCGGAGATTCAGACCTACCCCAATACATTCAGACGTTGGGCCAACGTTGGCAATGGTTTTGCCAACATTGCCAACTTTGGGCCAACGTCCGAATGCTATCTGGGTAGTCTCTCAGTCCCTGAACCACATTATTTCCCCTACTGCCAAACCTCTCTGCAGTGCTAAAGCCCTAAATAAAGCAAGTCTAGATCTCCTCAGGTTCAGGTTCTGAATCTCTGGTCTCCCTAGGGCTCCTTTTCAATTTGAATGGGCTTGTTTGTTACTATCAAAATTATATATATTCAGAGACTAAGCATTAGTCTAATTCAGACCCTGAGGAAATCTTGACTTGCTTTATTTAGAGTGGTAGCATCACAGGCAGTGTTTGGTTGAAGGGATATAATATGGTTCAGGGACTTGGACAGACTGCCCTTGCCGGCTGGTTACAAAATGGACTGTTTGAAAAGTCAAAACTGGCCCTTTTCTTACCGTAAAATACACGATTCCACGGTATTTCGAAGAAACAATATAGCTTCATATCATAAAGAGGTGTCGGTGGGGTAGCCTAGTGGTTAAAGCGTTGGCTCGTAACGCCGAAGACCCGGGTTCGATTCCCCACTTGGGTACAATGTGTGGAACCCATTTCTGGTGTTCCCCCGCCGTGATATTGCTGGAATATTGCTAAAAGCGGCGTAATACTATCCTGACACACACACAAACACTCATTACATAAAGAGAATGTTGAACGAAAAACAGATACTAACCCCACCCCCTCATTCTCACCCCCTCATTCTCACCCCATTCACACAATAGCCTTCTCTCTCCTCGTCCTTCAACCCACCCCTATAACACGGTCTGTCCACCCGCCTACGTTAACACAGGAAGCACTACCCACATGAACGAATAGGCTATTGGAACAGATAACTGGGGCCTCCTGACATGACCACTTGCTCCCGCAATAGTGCATCTGCACACCTTTACAGTTCGCCTATACCAAGAATCGCAGTTCCAGTACACTTGCTCTTGAGAGTACGCGCGGACCTGTCAACTGCTTTCAGTACTCGGGCACGCTTTCAGTACTCCGGCACGCTTTCAGTACTCGAGCACGCTTTCCTCGTGGGCGGCAAGTGTCGGAAGCGAGCCTTTCCATTATAGACGGGGGCGGAGGCGGTCGGAGTCACGTATCTTCCAGCGCTTTGCATGATGCCTACAGTTGGACTCGCCCAGTAGTAGTTTTTTTTCTACCTCGTAGAAATAAACTCGACCATTAGGAAAATCTATTTAAAATGATCAGACAATGGCCCCATTGTTGACCAAAATGGAAAACGTGGGCTTCTTTTTGTTAGTGAAACGCGTAAAGCGAAGCTCGCTCATACAGTGCAATTTGCAAACTGCCTTTGTTAATTGATTCTGACAGTGGTCAAAGCGTTCGCTCGTCAAGCCGAAGACCCGGGTTCGATTCCCCACATGGGTACAATGTGTGAAGCCCATTTCTGGTGTCCCGGCCGTGATGTTGCTGAAATATTGCTAAAAGCGGCGAAAAACATTCAGGTAACATTCTGGCGTATTATTACTGGAATATTACCAAACTAGGCGTAAAAGTGTTTCACTGTCCTGTCCATGCTTCACTCTGTAGATAGATAGTCTGGGGTAGTCCAGTGGTTGAAGCATTCGCTCGTCACGCCGAAGACCCGGGTTCGATTCTCCACATTGATACAATGAGTGAAGCCCATTTCTGATATCCCCGCCGTGATAATTCTGGAATATAAAAGCGGCGGTATTCCATACTCACTCACTTACTCCTACTGTAGAAACGGAAGGGCGTGGATACGTATGTCCTGACGGTGGTGGTGGCGTACGGCGAGGATGACGACCAGGTGCAACAGAGCGACCAGATCTACACCATCACCTGCACCTTTGACCCCAATGCCCTCGATGACAGTGCCAAACAAACCATTGAAGGATCGTAAGTAGTACACTGAATCAGAAAAATGGTGTTGAAAATAGACATCGGATTGTTAAATATCTAAGCACTACGCTAAAATGCGGGTTGGAGAGTTTTATTCCACTTCATTGACATTGTTACCCATGTACATCCGGGTTAGAATTGGTCTTCAGCAGCCCATCGTGTCGTAAACGGTGAGAAACTGGATCGGGTGGTCAGGCTCGCTGGCTTGGTTGACACGTGTTATTGTATCCCAATTGCGTAGGGCGATGCTCCTGTTGTTGATCACTGGATTGTCTGGTCCAGACTCAATTATTTACAGACCGCCACAATATAGCTGGAATATTGCTGAGTGCGGCGTTAAAAAACAAACCATTAATCTGTTAAGGCAACCAACAAAACAATCAACCGCCTGGGTGCAGTGTTTATAATGAGATGACAGATTACCTGTAAAATGAAAGACCCAAGGCAAGGAGGCCATACCCCATCTGTGTAGGTTTAAACCCGACCTTTAACTTCTCAGAAACACATCATAGTTTCCAATTAGAAATACCGAAAATGTAAAATAAGCCACAATAGGAAACACATGATCCATTGGATAAATGTGTACTTTTGTGGCGAAAAGTATAGGTTTTGAAAGTTTGAAAATAAAATTGTCTTTTGTGCTGACCATAAAATTCGTTTCCAACACTGATCAATAGTTGCACCGGATACTGAGGACAGCAACGGCCGACAGCGTTGAATGTCGTCAGTCAGGATTATGTATTTTCGTCTTGGTATTGATCGCAAGGGAACACAAATAGCGGCAGCACAACAACAGAATCGGTAACTGATATACACCGAAACGGGAGAAGCGTCGATAATGTTCTGAGGACTGCTTGCGCGACATGTTGCCCTCGCTTCAGGTTACACCATGTTGGTATACCTGTTTCCATGGTTACCGAAAACAATATGGCGGCCACAAATTTAAAAATGGTTTTGTTTTGGGTCTGGAATCTTTATTCTTTATTTAAGTTAACTTGCAATGAAATGAAATGCAGTATCACATCTTTTAAGTTAAATTACATTTGTGACGTCATTCCATTGTCTGTTCGCTCCATTACCTTTCAGGAATGGAGCGATGTGTACCAGTTTCATAATAAAACCTTCATTTTGTCATTTTGACATTTAACTTTGATAACAGAAATATTCCCAATACTTTGAATGTAATTTAAGTAGGGTAATATCCTCGTAACTCTCCATTCCTTAAAAATAATGTGCCTTGGCTCCATTATTTTTAAGGAATGGAGAGTTGCTCGGACATAAGCGATTACGGGTTAAGGCGTTAGCTCGACACGCCGAAAACCCGGGTTCGATTCCCCACATACGCACAGCCAGTGAAGATCTGGGTTAGAACTGGTCTTGAGCAACCTATGCCTGTCGTAAAGGCGACTAACGCGATCGGGTGGTCAGGCTCGCTGACTTGGTTGAGTCATGTCATCGTATCCCAATTGTGTAGATCGATGCTCATGCTGTTGATCACTGGAATGTCTGGTCCAGAGTCGCTTATTTACAGACTGCCGCCATATAGCATGGTCACAATGTGTGAAGCCCATTTCTGTTCCCCCGCCGTGACATTGCTGGAATATTGCTAAAAAAGGTGTAAGTGTAAACTTAATCCCTCGCCCTAACTAGACGATCCGTTGGCCATAGTCGTTAAAGAGACGGGTTGTTGTGGTACGTAATGGGTGCTTGATGGTGGTTGATGTTCGAAATGTCAAAAGAAACATTCATAGTTAACATTTCCATCTGTCTGTTATCACGTTCAGACTTGCAGCTCCCCGAGCGGTTGAAGTAGACAACGGCCCGGACACAAGTTCGTCCGTGAAATTGACCATCGCAGATATTCTTGGAAATGACCTTGACCCTGGCGAGCCCTTGACGCTGGGTCGCAAGATCATCTTGAAAATAAAAACAGACGGTGAGTCTGATTGGAAGATACAAGCCTCAAGACATTGATTGATTTCAGTCGTTGCTTGTACGTGTTGCAAAACACTGAGGTTTTAATGGGCGGTTGGAGTTACTGTCAACGGGTCAGACTGACCCCGATATTGATGGAATAACGCTGTTGGGAGTCGAGTATCACGAGTGAGCGCTTCAACCGTTAGGTCACTCAGTCGTCAATTCTAATAAGGCTATCAGACATGTTTATATCATAATTCTTAGAGAAATTGTTCGCGGTCTGTTTTTGTTCGATTCGATTAACGAGATAAAACCGTGATTGTTCGGCTCGGAGCTGTATACTCTGAGCGATTGAGGGGGCGGTGGGGTAGCCTAGTGGTTAAAGCGTTCGTTCGTCATGCCGAAGGCTCCGGTTCGATTCCTCACATGGGTACAATGTGTGAAGCCTATTCTGGTGTCCCGCTGTGATGTGGCTGGAATATTGCTTAAAGCGGCGTAAAACCATACTCATTCATTTGATTACACACGGTTGAAAGGTCATCTGATGCCAAATATTCTGCATGTTAATGGCGTCACCAAACCGAATTACAATTTCTATTTCTTAAAGCGAAATAGAAATCTTTGCATGCTCACTGCCACAGACGGCACAGAAAGTTAAGCGTCACGGATTCGTTTTAGGAACTTCAAAAGAAGTGGGCATCAGTCCCTGGTCCTGTGATGTGGTTGGCTCTAACCCCAAGCAAAGATACGCAGTGCTGAGGGCGGGGTAAGTCGACAAAATGGCGGTTAATCAATATACTGTTAACCCATGCTTGTCGTAAGAGGCAACTAATGGAATCGGCTGGTCAGGATCGCGAACTTGGTTGACACACGTCATCGTATCCCAACTGCATAGAGCGATGCTCATGCTGTAGATCACTGGATTGTCTGGTCCAGATTTGATTATTTACAGACCGCCGCCATATAGCTGGAATATTGCTGAGTGCGGCGTACAACTACACTCACTCGGGTGGCGATAAGCCCCGCCCCCAAGAACACATGTCATCGTGTCCCAATTGCATAGATCGCTGCTCATGCTGTAGATCACTGGATTGTCTGGTCCAGTTTTGATTATTTACAGACCGCCGCCATGTAGCTGGAATATTGCTGAGTGCGGCGTACAACTACACTCACTCGGGTGGCGATAAGCCCCGCCCCCAAGAACACACGTCATCGTGTCCCAGTTGCATAGATCGCTGCTCATGCTGTAGATCACTGGATTGTCTGGTCCAGATTTGATTATTTACAGACCGCCGCCATATAGCTGGAATATTGCTGTGTGCGGCATACAACTACACTCACTCGGGTGGCGATAAGCCCCGCCCCCAAGAACACATGTCATCGTGTCCCAATTGCATAGATCGCTGCTCATGCTGTAGATCACTGGATTGTCTGGTCCAGATTTGATTATTTACAGACCGCCGCCATGTAGCTGGAATATTGCTGAGTGCGGCGTACAACTACACTCACTCGGGTGGCGATAAGCCCCGCCCCCAAGAACACACGTCATCGTGTCCCAATTGCATAGATCGCTGCTTATGCTGTAGATCACTGGATTGTCTGGTCCAGACTCAATTATTTACAGACCGCCGCCATGTAGCTGGAATATTGCTGAGTGCGGCGTACAACTACACTCACTCGGGTGGCGATAAGCCCCGCCCCCAAGAACACATGTCATCGTGTCCCAATTGCATAGATCGCTGCTCATGCTGTAGATCACTGGAGTGTCTGGTCCAGATTTGATTATTTACAGACCACCGTCATATAGCTGGAATATTGCTGAGTGCGGCGTACAACTACACTCACTCGGGTGGCGATAAGCCCCGCCCCCAAGAACACACGTCATCGTGTCCCAATTGCATAGATCGCTGCTCATGCTGTAGATCACTGGATTGTCTGGTCCAGATTTGATTATTTACAGACCACCGTCATATAACTGGAATATTGCTGAGTGCGGCGTACAACTACACTCACTCGGGTGGCGATAAGCCCCGCCCCCAAGAACACACGTCATCGTGTCCCAATTGCATAGATCGCTGCTCATGCTGTAGATCACTGGATTGTCTGGTCCAGATTTGATTATTTACAGACCACCGCCATATAGCTGGAATATTGCTGAGTGCGGCGTACAACTACACTCACTTGGGTGGCGATAAGCCCCGCCCCCAAGAACACACGTCATCGTGTCCCAATTGCATAGATCGCTGCTCATGCTGTAGATCACTGGATTGTCTGGTCCAGATTTGATTATTTACAGACCACCGCCATATAGCTGGAATATTGCTGAGTGCGGCGTAAAACAACAATCATACTAAATCATTCACGTTATGAAATTCTTCGATGCGAGACCGACAACTCATTCATTGTTTTCAGAAGCCTTTTCGTTGCAGGCGTGTATGTGTAAAATCGTATTCACATAGACAGTTAAAAATGCATAGATATGTCATTTTACCAAAATAAAGATCAACTAAAAGTTTTATGGAGTTCCAAAGTACATAAAAAAATTAGATTAATAATGCTTTGAATATACGCCAAACTTGTAAACATGTACATTCATTTCCGTTTTCTTTCATTGCTATTTTGTTAGTCACTGGGAGATGGCATGAAGCTTCCAAATGTTTGGAAGTGTTGTCATAGTAATAAACTAAATGACTATATTTCCCAATTACTTCCGTGACGAAACTCTATTCAATCTTTGGTCAGTGTGAAGATACCCGTTATACTGTCAATTACGCTTTGCGGTTGGGGCAGCAAGGTCACGAACCAGTCAAGAATTCTGGGATATCATCCGGGTGCCTATCCGGGTAACAAAAGCAACAACCAGTCCCCGGGAATTGCTCTAGAGCAGTGTCCCTTCAAAACTGTTTTCTTGTTGAAAGCTCGGTTGGGATATTAGTCGAATTGGCTTAAAACATCATCCAGTCCCTTGTTCCTCACCATAAATGGAAAGTATGGCCCGGTCATTGCTCAGAATAGCGTCCCTTTGTTGTGAAGGGTCCTTAGAGATTTTGTTCGAATCCAGGATTCATCCTGAGATTCTTAACCCGCACTTCCCAAATTCGACGGATTCCCCAACCGGTAAGCTTCCAAGACCTGTATCCTTAGGGTTTTCCTCCCAAATGACGGCGTCCTGTAGCTCGCACCCTCGAGACGCTGCCCCACCCTCGAGACGGCACCCCACCCTCGAGACGGCACCCCACCCTCGAGACGACGCCCCACCCTCGAGACGACGCCCCACCCTCGAGACGACGCCCCACCCTCGAGACGACACCCCACCCTCGACACGACACCCCACCCTCGACACGACACCCCACCCTCGACACGACACATCACCCTCGAGACGACACATCACCCTCGAGACGACACATCACCCTCGAGACGACACCCCACCCTCGAAACGCCACATCACCCTCGAGACGACACCCCACCCTCGAGACGACACACTCGAGACGCCATCCCACCCACGAGACGCCACCTTCCAGACGCCACCCAACCCTTGTTCGACCCTGCCTGTCGCTCGGTATTAATGGGTACAACAAGGACTGGTCGGCTCGGAGTCAGTATAATGTGTCTGAGTGGGGTATTCATGCTTAACAGCGGCATTATATCTCAGTGAGACAACGCCCCACCCTCGAGACGACACATCACCCTCGAGACGACACCCCACCCTCGAGACGACACCCCACCCTCGAGACGACACCCCACCCTCGAGACGACACCCCACCCTCGACACGACACCCTACCCTCGAGACGACACCCCACCCTCGAGACGCCACATCACCCTCGAGACGCCACATCACCTTCGAGACGACACATCACCCTCGAGACGACACCCCACCCTCGAGACGACACACTCGAGACGCCATCCCACCCCCGAGACGCCACCCCACCCTCGAGACGACACCTTCCAGACGCCACCCAACCCTTGTTCGACCCTGCCTGTCGCTCGGTATTAATGGGTACAACAAGGACTGGTCGGCTCGGAGTCAGTATAATGTGTCTGAGTGGGGTATTCATGCTTAACAGCGGCATTATATCTCAGTGAGACAACGCCCCACCTCGAGACGACACATCACCCTCGAGACGACACATCACCCTCGAGACGACACCCCACCCTCGAGACGACACCCCACCCTCGAGACGACACCCCACCCTCGACACGACACCCCACCCTCGACACGACACCCCACCCTCGAGACGCCACATCACCCTCGAGACGCCACATCACCTTCGAGACGCCACATCACCCTCGAGACGCCACATCACCTTCGAGACGACACATCACCCTCGAGACGACACCCCACCCTCGACGACATGACACACTCAGACGCCATCCCACCCCGAGACGACCCCACCCACGGGACGACACCTTCCAGACGCCACGGAACTCCTACGACACACCTTCACCCACGAGACCTCGACACCCCACCCTCGAGACGACACCCCACCCTCGAGACGACACCCCACCACTCGAGACGACACTTCACCCTCGAGACGACACTTCACCCTCGAGACGCCACATCACCTTCGAGACGCCACATCACCCTCGAGACGAGACATCACCTTCGAGACGACACATCACCTCGAGACGACACCCCACCCTCGAGACGACACACTCGAGACGCCATCCCACCCGAGACGCCACCCCACCCACGAGACGAAGCACCTTCCAGACGCCACTCCAAATTCTTGTTCGACCCTGCCTGTCGCTCGGTATTAATGGTACAACAAGGACTGGTCGGCTCAAGTCAGTATAATGTGTCTGAGTGGGTATTCATGCTTAATAGCGGCATTATATCTCAGTGAGACAACGCCCCACCCTCGAGACGACACACATCACCCTCGAGACGACACATCACCCTCGAGACGACACCCCACCCCTCGAGACGACACCCCACCTCGAGACGACACCCCACCTCGACACGACGACACCCCACCCTCGAGACGACACACTCGAGACGCCATCCCACCCCCGAGACGCCACCCCACCCACGAGACGCCACCTTCCAGACGCCACCCAACCCTTGTTCGACCCTGCCTGTCGCTCGGTATTAATGGGTACAACAAGGACTGGTCGGCTCGGAGTCAGTATAATGTGTCTGAGTGGGGTATTCATGCTTAACAGCGGCATTGTATCTCGGTGAACTAGCACTATAAAAAAACAGCTTCAGTCTGGGCTAGTACAAGCAGCCACACATACACACACATGCACGTCGTCATATGAGCGAAATAATCTTAGGTACGACGTTAAACCCAATTTCACTTCACCTCACCAAGGCATATCCTCTGAATTATCTCAGGGAGCTGATAACGACATTTGTCCAGAGTTCGACTTATCACCCCTTGCTGATATAGTTAAGCTTGTTCAGTGTGATATGTTGTGCGTCAGATGCGGAGACGGGATAGTCTTCCCCAGACACTCGGGTTTCACCACCAAGGGACTCACAGCCACCGGTCCTTTCTTCGACAGCTTCACCTTACCAGGAGAGAAGACCTTAGTCTTTGAGTGTAAAGTGACGCTATGTAGTACACCGTGTAACGGGGTAAGTGTATTTCAGTCACATCCCGCCTATATGGTCGACGGGGGCGGTTCGGTAGCCCAGTGGTTACATACAGCGTTCGCTCGTCACGCCGAGCCCCGTGAAGGGCCGGGTTAGAATGAACCTTCAGTAACCCATGCTTGTCGTAAGAGGCGATTAACAGGATCGGCTGGTCAGCCTGACTTGGTTGACACATGTCATCGGTTCCCATTATTGCGTAGATCAATGTTCATGCTTTGATCATTGGATTGTCTGGTCCAGACAGACCGCCGCCATATAGCTGGAATATTGCTGGATGCGGCATAAAACTAAACTCATTCACTCTCTCGTCACGCCGAAGACCCGGGTTCGATTCTCCACATTGTACACTGTGTGAAGAGTATATCAGGTGTCTCCCGCCGTGATATTGGTTGAATATTGCTAAAAGAACAGGGTTAAACCTAGCTCACCTGAGCAAATGGATTTCATCTCCCAAATGCTGTTTTTTAAGGGTCTCGCGTCCTTTTTAACAACGTTCCTGAAAATAAGGACCGCCTCCGTGGTGTAGTGGTTAGAGCGTCCGCCCGGAGAGCGGAAGGTCGCGGGTTCCATCCCCAACCGCGTCATACCAAAAGACGTTAAAATATGGTACTTGTTGGTTCCTGCCTGGCGCTCGGCATTAATGGGTACAAGGACTGGTCGGCTCGGAGTCAGTATAATGTGTCTGAGTGGGGTATTCATGCTTCACTGCGGCATGGTATCTCAGTGAGCTAGCACTATAAAACCAGCTACAGTCTGGGCTAGTACAAGCAGCCGCACATACACATACACATACACACGCATGTACGTCGTCATATGAGCGAAATATTCTCAAGCCCGACGTCAAACCCAATGTCAAACCCAATTTCACCTCACCTCACCTGAAAATAGAGCTCACCAACTGTTTGTTTTCTCAGAACTCTTGTGGCAGTAAGCGCGGCAGAAGGGATGTCCATGGTGAGTATTTAGTATCGCATTTCCAATGCGTCAACATGACCAACTTTTAGGCAGGCTTATTGTAGAAAGTATTTCATTAACAACTATGGAAAACCTTAAGCTGATACTCAGATTTCTCCAAAACACGGCGCTGGGGGTAGCCTAGTGCTTAAAGTGTTCGCTCGTCACGCTGAAGACCCGGGTTCGATTCCCCACATGGGTCCAATGTGTGAAGCCCATTTCTGGTGTCCCCCGTCGTGATATTGCTGGAATATTGCTAAAAGCGGCGCAAAACAGTACTCACTCACCCACTCTCACAATAGAGTGGTCAGTTTCTTCGTGTCTGAATTTAGTTTATGGATGGTCCCTATGTAAATCACCGGATTACCATGTCCAGAACTAGCTCGTTTACAGACTGATGTCACAGATTATATGCTGAGAAACGATAATCAGCAAAATCCGAAAAACACATTCCCTTTTCATTAAAGACAAACGACACCTCAGAACCTGCATATAGCGACCAGGTGGTCGTTGTAGAAAGGGAACCGAATAGTGACTGGTCATTTTGACATCTGCACAGTTTTCTACAAGGTTGTTTTAAACATAATACATAAAACAATATATCTGTGAACCATATTTTAACCGTTTTCTAAGAAATCTGTAATACATATTGTCTCCTGCCATACTATCAAAAGTTAAAGCTGCCGGTTGTTCTCTTATTGTAAAGGGCCCATGAAGATCCGGGGTAGAATTGGTCTTCAGCAACCCACGCTTGCCACAAAAGGCGACTATGCTTGTCGTAAGAGGCGACTAACGGGATCGGGTGGACAGGCTCGCTGACTTGGTTGACACATGTAATCGGTTCCCAATTGCGCAGATCGATGCTCATGCTGTTGATCACTGGATTGTCTGGTCCAGACTCGATTATTTACAGACCGCCGCCATATAGCTGGAATATTGCTGAGTGCGGCGTAAAACTAAACTCACTCACTCACTTTTTGTAAAGATTATATACATTACGGATTGTGGAGGACATTAGGGACATATCACCACAATCTAAAAAAGTAAATTTCGTTTCGTGTTTATTCATCCAGGAATATTTGAGAACAAAATCACGTTGAGGTCGACCCGTTTCCAGAATCTGGAACAATGAAGAGGTGAAAGGTGACGTAACTGTTCCTCGAGGTCGAGGTCAAGGTCAAGGTCATGAGCTCAGACATAGAGGCTGGTCACATCGGTCATCAGTTTTGGAGTCATGTCCAGTAGGTCATGTGTTCTACGACTGTCCGAAAGCTGAAGCTGTTCCTCAATAAATGTCTAAAGAAATACGGTGTCCGAGTTTCAGTGAAGCCTTTTGTCGGTGCCTTGTTCACGTACCAAAATTAGTAGTCTCTGCACTAAAACTTCAACACGTTTTATGATAGGTTTTGACCCGTGAAGATCCGGGGTAGAATAGGTCTTCAGCAACCCATGCTTGCCACAAAAGGCGACTATGCTTGTCGTAAGAGGCGAGTAACGTGTCATCGGTTCCCAATTGCGCAGATCGATGCTCCTGCTGTTGATCACTGGATTGTCTTGTCCAGACTCGATTTTTTACAGATCACCGCCATATAGCTGGAATATTGCTGAGTGTGGCGTAAAACTAAACTCACTCACTCTGCTCAGGGGCGAAAGAGAGTTTATCTTGGGCCGTTTCATACCGAAATAGACCCGTGAAGGTCCGGGTTAGAATATTGATCTTCAGTAACCCATGCTTGTAAGAGGCGACTAACGGGATCTGGTGGTCAGGCTCACTGACTTGGTTGACACATGTCATCGGTTCCCAATTGCGTAGATTGATGCTCATGCTGTTGATCACTGGATTGTCTGGTCCAGACTCGATTATTTACAGACCGCCGCCATATAGCTGGAATATTGCTGAGTGCGGCGTAAAACTAAACTCACTCACTCACTATATAGTTTGAGAAACACCACAATCTTATCAGATCCAAACTTGCACACCTGTACACATCTCCTCAGAATAGTCTTTGTTTAGGGTTTTAAGTAGAAGCAAACGGGGTTGTTTACTTTAATTAATTTAAATATTAGTCATAGATATTCATGATAACCTGTGATATTCGTATTATTAATGTACAATAAATATTACACGGAACAGTTTAGCGGTCAGAAAAAAGGACGCAGAAAAGCTTTCAATCTGGAAAGAACGACTTGGTATATATCCTGAGACAGAAGTACCTTTAATACAGGTTACTTTCAAAAAGATAATTCAAATGTCTTTTAATTTTAGGTACTTGTTGTAAATTATTAAAAAATAGAACGGCAGTGCAAACGAATACCCATTCTTGACCATCCTCGTAAACAAAGACCGTTTGGTGTAAAAAAAAAAGCTGTGAAAATTATATCGATGTGTCACTGCAAATCGCAGATGACATCCAGTGTATGCGAAAAATACTTTCTCGATGAAATTAAAAAATCAAATACGTACCTATAAAATAACCCCTACCACCTTCTCCCCTACCCGAACACCCTGATCTCAAAAGACATCAACACTCACCAACACCTCCCCAACTCCCACCCCGATCACCAATCCCCCGTCAATCACGAAAACTCTCGCAACTTAACACCTGTGCCCCTACAACGTACAGGGATGATATGCCAGTAACGGATTAATCCTTTGTTGAATACAGAGATTATCTCCTGGATGTCGTCCACCCGTATAACATGGCGACAGGGCGTGACTACTTCGCGGTATTAAAGACAAAGAATGCTTGCATTGGCATTGTAATGTTAGTTCAAATCTCGCCCCTATCCTTATCTCAAACACAAATGTTTGGCTTAACGTTTCTATGGACGCTTGTAAATAAACATAAAATATGTCCCAATGTGAAATACCATTTCTCAACCCGAAGAAGCATTTCATGTAAATATTAAACGCTCGCCATATTGTCGTAACTCCAAGTTACTGAACCAAGCGTATTAAATTTTTCATAACGTTACGTAAATCCTCGCTTCACAGAAAACAGTAACCGTAGACAAGGATTAGAATTGAATTTCGTTTGCAGTTGTCCATTCTTATAAAACTCACTACAGTCCGTTTGGCTCAAAAGCGGACCGATGAATTGCAATTTAACTCGAAAACTAATAAACATAAAATACTCAATGAAACGCTGATCATAATCAAAACATCATACCAACGCTGTGATTTCTTTGCAGAATTTATGTCCTAAAGTTAAAAAACTTGTTTAAGAAACTATCATTAAAATATTGACACAGTTCACTATTTGTTACGAGGGAGGAGTGCAGAGAAAGGGACAGCCAGGTGTGCGAGAAGCACAAGCACATGTGCCGACAAAGTTATTGAGTCAACGGATGAAGGCGACACAGCACAGGTTAATGAATCAATAACTTTGTCGGCACTTGTGCACGTGCTTCTCTAACACCTGGCTGTTTGTAATACAATATCATCGCACACTATATAATTTATTTTATATATATTTTTTTCTATTTCCGACAGGATTTTAGTGACGTAACGTCTTTGAGTGGCATTTTAGAAGTTGGGAAGTACAATATAGAACAAACTTTATGGATAACAACTTCTTTTTATTCGTGAGTGCAACGTTTCGATACAGATTCTTGTACCGTTGTCAAGCATAATGGAACATGAGGTGAGGTGAAATTAGGCTTAACGTCGTACTGAGAATATTTCGCTCATATGACGACGTGCATTGCATGCGTGTGTATGTGTATGTGCGGCTGCTTGTACTAGCCCAGACTGAAGCTGGTTTTATAGTGCTAGCCCACTGAGATACCATGCCGCAGTGAAGCATGAATACCCGCCCGGAGAGCGGAAGGTCGCGGGTTCGATCCCCGACCGTGTCATACCATAAAGACGTTAAAATATTATACTTGTTGGTCCCTGCCTGGCGCTCGGCATTAATGGGTACAACAAGGACTGATCGGCTCGGAGTCAGTATAATGTGTTTGAGTGGGGTATTCATGCTTCACTGCGGCATGGTATCTCAGTGAGCTAGCACTATAAAACCAGCTACAGTCTGGGCTAGTACAAGCAACCGCACATACACATACACATACACATACACACGCATGCACGTCGTCATATGAGCGAAATACTCTCATGCACGACGTCAAACCAAATTTCACCTCACCTCACAGATGGTGCTTGTCACAAACACATGCAAAGTCAAGACAAATGTCCACCTTAACCGACAAAGGATTCGGGAAACAAGTACAACTGAAAATAGGGAAAGGCAATATATTAAGATATATTTATTAGTCCCAGTTTGAACGTGTCCCTTTTTCACCTTAGCAGATTGCATTGTTGATCTAAAGTGGCCCAACGTGAGAAGAATCTCCATAAATAGATGTGCGAGGATGGGGTAGCCATGTGGTTATAGCGTTTGCTCGTCACGCCGAAGACCCGGGTTTGATTCCCTACATCAGCACAATGTGTGGAGCCCATTTCTGGTGTCCCCCGCGGTGATATTGCTGCAATATTGCTAAAAGCAGCGTAAAAAACATAACTCACTTACTCAAGAATAAACCGCCTCCGTGGTGTAGTGGTTAGAGCGTCCGCACAGGGAGCGGAAGGTCGCGGGTTCGATCCCCGGCCGCGTCATACCCAAAAGACGTTAAAATATGGTACTTGTTGTTCCCTGCCTGGCGCTCGGCATTAATGGGTACAACAAGGACTGGTCGGCTCGGAGTCAGTATAATGTGGCTGAGTGGGGTATCCATGCTTAACTGCAGCATGGTATCTCAGTGGGCTAGCACTATAAAACCAGCTTAAGTCTGGGCTAGTACAAGCAGCTTCGTGGAATGCACGTCGTCATATGAGTGAAAGTCTCAAGTACCCCATTTCACCTAGCTCACCTACTCACTCATAATAGGATGCCGACGGGGACACAATCCCCTCTGAATCCCCTTGTGCGGATCCCATTTTCAAGAAGCTATTCCAGAATACTGAATACATCATCACGCCCTGACAACAAGAAAATAAACCCACCAAACTTGTTCAACACCCACACGAATGTATTGCCAAAATCACGGCCGATTTACGATTCAGTCTCGTGTTATGAGCATGCGTTCAGGAATCACTACCAAACAGTATTGACACCAGGTGTTCACGAAAAGATGAGCGTACCCCACCCCACTGTTGACACCCGTCATGAACAAATGGAAAGGTTTGTCATTTGTTCACCTAAAACAACAGGTAACATATGGAAAATCGGAATGACATCGGACATCTTTATCTGTCGTAAAAAGGCGACTAACGGGATCAGGTGGTCAGGCTCGCTGACTTGGTTGACATAATCATCGTATCCCAATTGTGTAGATAGATGCTCATACCATTGATCATTGGATTGTCTGGTCCTGACTCGATAATTTACAGACCGCCGCCATATAGCTGGAATATTGCTGAGTGCGGCGTTAAACAACAAACCAACCAACCATTTTTGTCATCGATGCTTCAGTTTTGAAAATGCCCTTCATATGTCTACAAGCAACAAGCGACACGCGCTACGACAATCATATTTATAAACATTACGAAACCAAATACCGCTTTCTGATTGGTGCAGTCAATATCCCTCTGTGACTTGAACTCATCTTCTTCAGCCCCACTCAACTTTGGGGTCAGATTACTACGAAATCAGGCCAAGTACCAGAGAGCGTGAGTCCTCTGTACCCCTAAGCCGCAAAAACAGAACCCATCTCTTTGGAGACCCGTATCAACATAACCCAACAGTCTTATATAGCTGAACGCTTCGAAACCTTCGTACCAAGTTCACACCTTGTTCACTTTAGGATTCGCGATGGAGGCAGGTTAGTGAAATACAGAATCAGTACATTTGGAATTATTTGTTTGATAAGCGATAGTTTTACATTGAAACGTGAATTAATATATCTGATTATTTATTGTTTGATAGGCAGTCTAGAAGTTGGCGAGTCAATAATTAGGAGAAAACATACTGAGTTGGAAAATCAAATGTATATAACGAAATTATAATAGCTCTAAATTTGATTTCAAACCGAACGCGTTTATCTCCATTGCACTATTACAGCGTTATTAAGATTTAAAAGAAATACATACTGTTTTGGAAAATCAGAGGTATATAACGTGATTATATACCTCTGAAAGTCTTTAATTAACCAATCACAAGCCAGTATTTACTGAAGTCATGGAAGAATAAAGAATAAAACTTTATTGATAACATCGCTCTGTGCAATAAATAAGACGTTGTTATCCATAAAGTTGAATGCTTTATTATCTGATTATATATTTGTTCCACATATTTTACTCGACAACT